ACCGATGTTCAAACGTTTTTATACATTACCGTGACTCCTATTAAAGGACAACAGAGTCTATTATTGGTTTTACCTATAGCAAATAACTTATTATAAATAATGTATTTTATGGTCGTATTTTGTATTACGGTTCATGCATTAAATAAGCATTGTGACTGTGCCCGGTTATTTTGTTAAAAAAATAAATTGAAAACAACTTTCTAGATCTAAAGTATACATCCTCTTTCAAAGAACGGGATATTGTATTTTATTTTTTTACTTATTCAAAAAAACTTATTATAGATCATGTGTTATGGTCTTTGTATTAAATACGCAGTTTAAATGTACCAAGATATTTTGTTTTACAAAAACTGAAAGCAACTACCTGGATCTAAAGTAAACATCCCCAATTATATATATGAGTTACATATAAAACCAGTTTATCTTCCCAGGGTTGCACAGGTGAAAAATCCCCGTAATGACGGAGTAATCATGAATGTCCAATTTCATCATTAAAAGATTCACCAAAAGACAAAATAAGCAACACCAATAATTGTCTGGTAATACGTTTGGCAGTAACAAGTTATTTTAAAATCTGTAAGTCAAACTGTTAGGTATCGAATAGCGAACAATTAAACAGTCTCTTTTATATAGATAACGAAAACAGTTGGCCGGTATAACGATTTTTATATAGATAACGAAAAGAGATGGCCGGTATAACGGCTTTTCCAGATTGGACACTGGGAAGTAGGCCTACTTCTTTATTTCGCCCGTGAACACTGAAATCAGCTTTTGAATGAGGTCGCACGTTTAAATGGTTTATTTTTTTAGTATTTGAAATATATCTTTACTTTTTCTTATGTATTCCCAATTCGTTTACTGAATTCAATGTGGTTTAACACGTAGAACCTGGCAAGAAACACTGTCTAGTCCGTCGGACGGTACGAAAAACCGAAGTCCCTTGTACACATTAGCATGTATACGTAAAAGAAACCTTGACAGCTGGAATTCGAAATAAGACTAGACCGTGGCGCCGCTGTCGGGCAACAGTTTTCCTCATACCACAATGCATGGCGTATGCCCATGTTCATTAGCCCCGTCGGTACAGGACAGTTGGACGTTAAACCCCATTTCATTCACTTATATAATTACAGCGGGAGAGCCTCATTTAAACGAGTTTCAAGTGAAATAGAGTTTAACGTCCTACTGTTCTGCTCCAACTGGGCTAATTAAGACGGGCATACCTCATACAGTGTGCAAGAGAGAAAATTTGCCCGGACAGCGGTGCTATGACCTACTCTTATATCGAATTCCAACTGTGAAGGGATCTTTTACGTGCACGCCAATGTGTACACTGGGTCTTGGTTTTTCGTCCCATTCGTACGACTAGACAGTTGTCCTTGTCAGACCCGTTCTGCGCCACTGACAAGGGGAAACCACGCCGGGTACTCCCGATGAACTTTCTTGGCCAACACCTGAATTTAAAGTAACGTTACATCCTGTTCTATTGAAAGCATGAACACGTTGTCCTTTATTTCTTCTCTCTATGTCTTTCAACAGTTCGTATATTTAATATAGAGTTACTCTAAAACGTGATGGAATTTAAATTGTCGTTGTTTCCATTGTGCAAAAACAGGTAGCTGTCGTATCATATTATTCATACATTCTGAGTATATGCAAACAAATTGTATTGAGAATTTCACACCTTATAGCATGATGTAATTATTATTCTAGTTTCCCAATCATGAGGAATTTCCATTATTTAAATTTATGGACAACCATTTCGCCCATAAAATTGGTGGTGTTGTCAAAATACACGTGAGAATACTTTAGACTCCCTGTTAGAAAACGGGCCATTTTTCAGCTGTGTCAAACTACAAATATATTAAAGAATCACTTTGGTTGTGATTTGACAACAAATAATATTATGTAAATTGTTATTCCGACATCATAATTCTCGATTGATGATTTTATTATGTAAAACATAAATGATTATAAACCCATTTTTGGTATATGGACAGTACGCGAAACCAGCTTAACTGTCATGGTAGCCAGGAGCAGAGGTTTTATAAAGAGGACCCGGAAAAGGCCACGAGGTTGGACAGGCAACCCTACTACTTGGGGTCGAAACCACACCACAATTGACTCATTGTCAGATCACTGGACCACCCAACCCCCTTCGATGAAACAAATTCTCTGGGTTATGTGAAACAGGTAAATTTAAGCCGCCGCGTTTATACGGAAAGATATGGCTTATTATACCGTCACCAGACACAATATTTCTATACCCCCTTAAATAAATGTCATTTTCAATAGGCTCTATAGACTAATGATAAATTTGATAAATATTTATATATTTATATTGATGATCCAATTTTATTCTCATTTACCAAAATATATCATTGAAAAACATTTATTTTGACAGAATTTGTTCAATAAAAAATACTTTGAATACGTAGTGACAGTTTAATTGTGCATTAAGGTTTTAAATGATTTATGCGGGATATAGTGTAGGTGGGTGCTGCGCATTATTATACTTTGTGGGGGTTGGGGGTCGGATTTGTGCAAACAAAACATTGATTTGGTGCGTAGATGTTCACTATTATGATATTGTATTCCCTGGCAACACGCAGTTACGGGGGGGGGGGGTGGACGGGGAAGATGTGGTTTATAATATTGGAATACAATTTTTTTATAGATATAGAGTGCAGTTTGATGCATGGAAGTTTAACATTTTGATCCTGTACATTTCGATACGCCAATTACTACCACAAGGCGGTCGTGGGAATTAAGGGGCTTAATATGGTACAGAATGTACCAGAATTAGCCATAATCCCGAGCAACAAACTTGACGAGATTATAGATTAGAGTTACAAATATAATCCAGTAATCATTTCAGGATAGTTCGACTGGCCTGTCTCCTGTAACTTGGATAAAAGGTTGTCAAGTATTGTGGATAGCGGATTATTGTTATGAATTATTATCCGTCATTACATGTCTTCATTAATCCCCTCTGGTGCAGAAAAGTAGGACATTTTACTCCATAATGTCTGGAGATTATTTCCTGATTTTTCAAGCTGTATGAGAATTATCCACCTCTTGGTGCAGTGAAGTAGGACGTTAAACTTTCAGTTCATCGAATCCACCATTGTTTGATCTATATCTAGAAATCCTCCATCTCGGATCTCGGATTCCTTTGCCCACATTAGTACTTACCTTTAAGGTTTATATCTGGGATTCCCCCATCCACATTAGCACATACCTTTAAGGGTTATATCTGGGATTCCTCCATCCACATTAGCACTTACCATTTATGAATATATCTGGGATTCCTCCATCCACATTAATACTTACTTTAAGGGTTATATCTGGGATTCCTCCATCCACATTAGTGCTTGCCCTTCAGGGGTCTATCTTTGATTTCTCTATCCACATCAGTACTTAACTTTCAGGGTTCTATCTTGGATGCCTCCATTCAGATTAGCACTTGCCGTTAACGGTTATATCGCCAAAATCTTCGATGCCTTGAAATGTAATAGACCCCGTAACCTATTGACCTAGAACTGGAAACCCGATCAACCAGGATGCTCGAGTTCTTTTCACAGTGGCTCATCTTCAGTCTTTCAGTATCCGCCTCTGAGCTACACGTGTTTTGTAATCTACACGGTGTACATTGCATGTATTGTATATGATATATAATTAAAGCAGTAGTTTGTGTACTTTATATTGTTACAATCACGATCTGCAGCAAAACATTTTTCTGTAATTACAAAGAAGAATCAATATCCTAGATCGGTGTATTGTAATGGTCATGATAAATGTTTTTATGGGGTTAAAGATCATCTTTTTACCAATGTTTACTTATGTATTGCATAAAATCCTTGAACTGCGCATAAAAACTGCATCCGTGTTTGATCATCAGCACACTGCTATCTTTAAAATGACTAGTCATCGTTGAAAAAACTCAAGTTTGACTGATTAAGTCGATGTGTCTATTCAATTAAACCTGACGGGTTGTTTTGATTTGCTAATTGGGTTATCTGTGGGTAGAAATGAAATGGGGTTTAACGTCCTACTGTTCTGCTCCTAAACTGGGCTAATGAAGACGGGCATACGCCATTTTGCCCGGGCAGCGGCGCTACGCCTACTCTTATATCGAATTCCAACTGCCAAGGGATCTTTTACGTGCACGCCAATATGTACACGGGACCTCGGTTTTTTATCCTATCCGAACGACTAGACAGCTGTCCTTGTCAGGCCCTCCGTCCTGCATCACTGACAAGGGGAAACCACGTCGGAAAATCTGGATTAACTTTCTCGGCCAATGCAGGGATCGAACACCCGCCCTCCAGGCTAGCGAGCCAGCGTCTTACCCACTTAGCCACGTGATCCCCTATCTGTGGGTAGAACCAATGATAAAATAAGTAAAATGAACTTTCTTTGTAATACTTTGGGACAGATCAATCAAAATAACACATAACTCATCAATTTAACTCGACATTATTTTGATGTACATGTACATCAAAGTAATTTTATTCAGCTGCAATGTACACATAAAGTACACTAAATTGTCAGGTGTTCTAGAAGGAGTAAGCATGCGCTGTCCCATGGCTGTTTTAGGTTGTATTCTTATCCCTTAGATAAAATGCCCTTCAGATGTGTGCCCTTTAATAAAAAAAAATAACAGCGATTCGCTCCTCTTTCGTTACAAAACAACTAATTGATATCAGTTAAGAATACAAATATAGGAATATTTTAACACAAATTTAGGAATAGTACATTCTATAAATTGAAAAATATCGTTTGAAGACCTATTTTATTTCTTGAAAGTTTTGATATTCGCCCATATTTTGTGACCAGTAAACATGTTTATGTTTAAAGCTGGATTATACCGATGAACAAAAAGGATATGAGTCAAGATATCATTATGAATATGCATGAACAAATATTGAATCTGAATATATGTATGAGCTGTTTAAATCGCTATAAAATTGATAATTCACTCAATCGCTGGTCTGCAACAAATCTGCAACATAAATCTTGGTGTCGATAAAGGTCAGTGCAATGTTACTGGTTTGTTTTAAAACCCGATTAAAGAAACTATACAGGTCACAATTCTATGGAATACAATAACTGCTTATAACTGAGCGACGTTGTTGTGTACACATATATATTGTATTGTTATATTTTCACATTGCTTGATAATGACTAGAGAAGCCTAGTCAAAACGTCGCTCAGTAGTAAGCAGTAATTGTATTCCACAGAGTTGTGACCTGTATCTTCCAGTTCAATTATTAAATGCCATTGAAACAATTTATCTGAAGCGTTGTATTAATATTTTTTGTTTCGATATTATTTCAGGGATTTTTGCTTTCCAGTGTCTTTTTTTATTATTATTCTTGAGTTCAAACAGTTATTTTTTTATTTCTCTTTGATTAAAATTTAATACATATAAATTTCGCTAAATAACACGTCTTGTTTTTGAAATTTTCAGAATTAGCAACAAAACCTGCATACATATATCACTGAAAGCTATATATTTTACGATAGCATATACGACCTTTATTATCACTTGTAAATTACCCCTTTTAAGTGGTAAATAATTATTATAAATTACAGTTAGATTTTATAGATTGTAAATCCACTTTTTTATATTTTCAGGTTCGTGTTTAAACGGCTCAATAGAAAACCATCTACAGTTAAACCATCGGCTATTTCTTAACTCGCCAGAATTCTTAACAGTAATAATTCTTAAACCGATATTTGTTTGATTGACGGCTTAGATTCTAAATACAGATTTGCTGACTAGCTTTAGTTAAAAAGAACATGTACATTCATGTAATAAGATTGTCTTATCGGCTTCTTATCTCCGAGAACTAATCACAATTGGAGAAATTAAGGTCGACAGAAGTGCCAAAAATCTGAATTTTGAGAGGAAACTAGTTTCTCTACCAGTTGGACAAACATTAGAATACAGTTCTTCAATTCAAATCCGAATATTTGTATATTATTTTAGTGGTTTTCGGTTTAAGTTTATGTAAACTGAATAACATACTTATGATGAGCATGCCTCTAGGCATAACACGACCACGGTGGATTAGATACACGGTAATTTTTATTTCGAGTGAAAAAATTGTTCTTACTTGAACCTCTAAATCCGCTCAACGATTTACTGTAGCCGTGTACATTGTATAATGGAATAATATTAACCGCTTTAGCTATTCACTACACAACTAGAGGTTTTGTGATTTCGAATCGGCAGGCGTGGCGAACATGAGTGGGAAAAAACTTATTCTCGACTTTGCCAGTTGTTTCATAGCGCATTAACAGAAGACAAGTTCTATATCTCGGGCGCGCCAGTCACTAGGAATTAACTCACCGATAGATATATAGAGAGTGTGCGAGTGTGTAACATTACAGCGGTTACAAGGGAAAACTAATGTGAAGCCATCTCTTACCCGATAAAAGTAAAATCAAAGTAGGAATCACTCATCCATAGCTCGGGAGTGAAAATATCGCCTAGACTGTCGATCTTCAGTCATCGAACACATTGGATCGATCAAAAGAGAACGTCGTTTGCATGCGATAGTAGTAAGAGCGTGGCTAGTTTGTTCTTGTGGTTAACTTGTTCCGTTACTAAGAGCTATACGTGAACAGCGGGGACAGTACCATGTCTTTTCAAAATGCTCCTAGTTGAATTGAGTAAAAGTGTGAGATTACTAAAGATGGAGTGTTATGTAAGACTGGAATAAAAACTAACTACATTGATACACCGATTCAGTGGAATGGCGGATTCGGCACGAGACGTTAGTTTTGTGTATGACAACATTTCGCGGCAAAATGTGACGGATCTAATAGTGGATATGTTTACAAATGTCACAACCACGAGCTCTAATGTCAATGATTCCGCTCCACAGGATACCGGCCCACCGCCAGCACCGTATCCCCTATGGGTAGAAATAATTATTGCGGTTATTATTGTTTGTTTAATAATAGGCACGGTAGTGGGAAATTCTTTGGTGTGTATTGCTGTGGGGATCGTGAAAAGATTGCAGTCACCCTCCAACTTACTTATCGTTTCTCTAGCCGTGTCGGATTTGCTAGTGGCCCTACTGGTAATGCCCTTTGCCATGTTCCTGGATATTAAAGGGGCGTGGTTAATGGGTGATGCGTTATGTGATGTTTGGACTTCGTTGGATGTTATGCTGTGTACTGCGTCAATTCTCAATCTGTGCATGATAAGTGTTGATAGATATTTTGTGATTACGAGACCATTTCAATATGCCATGAAGAGGACGCCTAAAAGAATGCTTCTCATGATCGCAGTAGTGTGGGTTTCATCTGGTCTGATATCAATTCCACCAGCATTTGGTTGGAAGACTGAAAGACCTGCCTATGTTTGTTTAATTAGCCAAAAGTTAGGGTATCAAATCTATGCAACTATAGGTGCCTTCTATTTGCCTCTTGCGGTAATGATCGTGGTCTACTTTAAGATTTGGAGAGTGTCTTCGCGAATAGCCAAGGCGGAAAATAGGTCGAAGGTAGGAAGTTTTGATAAAGGTGTCGAATTTCAGGTGGGTCGTCGCTCTAAAGACAGTGGCGACAGTCACACGCTACCCAATGGTACCCTGACGGTGCCAGGGTCGGGGGAAGACGACGAAATATTACCAAAGAAACAAAACTCAATGAAAAGACGGCGTTTAAGCCGCTTTAATTTCAAATCGCTCTTACCACGGAATCAGAGGATGAACCATTCTTTGGAGAGTAAGGCAACAAAAACATTGGGCATCATAATGGGGGGATTTACGGCCTGTTGGCTACCGTTCTTTATTTTAGCTCTTGTGCGGCCCTTTTGTGGCGCCGAAGAAGAACATTGCCAAATACCTTATTGGCTAACTAGTGCTCTTATGTGGTTAGGTTATGCTAACTCATTTTTAAACCCCGTTATTTACGCACGTTTCAACAGAGAATTTAGGACTCCGTTTAAGGAAATTCTATGTTTTCGGTGTAAAGGAATTAATACTCGAATGCGATCGGAAAGTTACGTGGAACAATATGGCCACCCTGATCCTTCATATAAGGACAGTTTAAAACCAACAACGGATACGGTAGTGAAGTATAACAGCCACGGACAGACGGTGGTGGCGCTAGGTAACGGCTCGGCTAATGGGCAAAGTGAAAGTAGAATCTAGACTGTCCACAGAATAATTGTTATTCCTGGACCGTTTAATAACGATGTGAAAAACATTTTCTTTCATAAAATATGTGTATCAAATCGTTGTCCAGTCCATGTCCCATTTGATGATACAATTGTGATAGTACTCTTTTGAATATCTTGAATCGGGGCGTTGCCTGGCTACAAAACTCAAAAGCCCCAGTATAACACTTATGTCACTGGCAATAAATATTTAAATAATTATAAAGGTGATAATCTCCCGCGGAATAATTTAATAATGTGATTTTTTTATGAGAAAAAAGACGGACAGAAACACCATCTGTTTATTAGATAAGTAATTGAATATATCATGGTGTGTTACTTTCGTGCTGTGCTCAGATGAATTGATATAATGATAAATTCCTGGAAGTAGAATTTAGATTGGCACCATGTGGGAACTATTTGTTTACATCGTGATTTTTTTTTTGTATCGTGTGAACTTTGACCTTGTACAAATCGATGCCCTTTCCCGGGGTTAAAACAGGGTCTCTGCTGAAGAAATTGTTCTTCCATGTGAACCAATACTGCTGAAATTCCGATCTTCTGCACCCTTCAACGGTCTGGTAGTTCCAGGTATCTGACTCGAGGAATTTGAATTTCAAATGAATTGGATTATCAACCAATGAGATTACAGTTTACAAAGAATTAATGTGCACGATAACTCAGCACATATGGTCACGTAAGTTATAAAGAAAAGTCAAAATATTTAGTTTGACAGAATTTCCCAAAATAAAATGAAATCACAAATGAAAACAATTCTAAAGAATTTAATGAAAAGATGTAAAAAATTGATTTAATTTACTAATATAATTAGTCGAAGAGGTGCAATTCAAATTAACAGCTTGGGTTGTTTTCCCGCCCTTTGTGTGATAATGATGTTATTTATTAACTTATTAACGCTCACGTGTTGTTTTATTGGTACATAATAAGAGTATAGAATTGTTAAGTTATCATTGTTAACTGTATTAAGGTTCCCATTATTATAATAAGTAATATATTTATATCTACCATTTGTAAATACGGAATGAATGGACCTTTAAAGAATGAATGAATGGAAGAATGGACGAATGAATGAACGTATTCATATAATATGTTTTGTATAGTTTTTTTTATATTTTAGTTTAAAGCTAAACCCTTCTTTAACAGTTTTATGATCGTTTTCATTGTTAAAGAAATTTGTTTTAAATTTTGATTTAATTTTTTTATTATGTTAGTTTCTTCAAAAGAAATAATTCTTTAAATGCCAAAACTGTATTAAAAAAAGAAAAACAGCATGTTTTGAACACTTGCGAACGTTGTGATATTTGCCACATTCTTATTCAAAACAACAGAGAGACACTTTAATGACACTCTTAGAATAAATTTTAAACCAGATTTGACAATAATGAGTACGTATACATCGTAATTTTAAAACATTCTTACATAAATAGCCTAATAATTCAAAATATTTGACGTGCTCTCTTTTAAAACCCAACAAAATGTGAATTACTGTTTGAAAATTATTGTCATATAATGGACTATCTTGTGAATAGCTTACGTTTTTATTGACTTAAAGGAAAGCATGTAAAATCTTCATAAAGCACTCGCTTCATTAAAGTCGCGTCAAATTTCTATGTTTACTCGACGCACATAACAAATACTACACCAATCCACAATTTTATTTTTAATTTTGAAATATGTTCTGAAGTCGTTGAAACAAAATCAATGTCTGGCCTCTTTAATCGATATATTTGACAGCATGGGAATGTTTTGGAGACAATAACGAACATATGGCAAATACTGTATACTAGAGTAACTTCTAATCAATTATTTTTCACAAGCGTAAAAGAATCCCGACTTGAGCTGTTTGCGAGATTTAGGCCAAAGTCATCGAATTTTGAGTAAGTAAATTTATTATCAAGCACGAAGGGCCCCCTTTTTTATTTACTGTACGTACAAAAAAGCGGTCGGATATCAATCGTTTGTCGATAGAATTAAATTCTAATTTATGCATAGAAATTGATCCCTACGTTAGAACATTCTGTATAATGTTACAGTCAGGGTAATCCCGGCTTAATAATTATACAATAAACGTAATACAATAGTGGTACATATGGAATTAAAGATGACTTATTTAATACCCACATTTCTTAACAGCACAACGTGCCACAATTAAGGCTCAGTAGAGAGACTAAGACTGTAGTTGGTGCACGAAGCAGTGTATGCAGAATTATTGTAGGACATCCGAAATCGCTTCTCATTCGGGAATTTCACAAAGCTAAAACATTGCCACAATTAAGATTCAGTAGGGAGACTAAGGCTGTATTTGTGCATGAAGCAGTGTATGCAGAATTATTGTAGGACATCCGAAATCGCTTCTCATTCGGGAATTTCACATAGCAAAAACATTGTTCCGTGGTTTCATTTTTTTTACCGTGTTCAATCTGGAAAACACATTAGCCATTTGAAGTTTACATTTGCTTTTTTCCAGTTCACGCTGCCGGCTTTCTAATTTTCATTTACATTTTTCAGGATAAGAAAATAACATCAATTCTAAGAAATTACATTCAGTTTCGGGGTGTTTTGGTGCTCAAATTATCCCGTAACTAAAAAATACCCAAACACTCTGCATATTTTAAATTTTAAAATTATCTATATATTAAATCTGTGGTTTGCTGTTGCTGTTATTTAAGGTATTCAAATAATGATAGTTACAACTACAAACTGTGTTAAAATTATGTTTCGGTATTCCCCCAACCCATCCGCTTATTCTAACATAATAACCATTTAGCCGATAAGCCTAATACAATATTTCATAATAAACTTTAACAATAATAAAAAAAATGTCCTGGCGTTTAAGTCGCTTACACCATAATAATGATAATAGTATTAATTTCGGGGGCTGTTTTGTTCGGGTCAACGAATTCTGACAAATACTCTTAACTAATTTGTATATTCATATTAAAGGCCATCGGAAATATGTTTGCTTTCATAAAAGAACATACTGTGCTATAAATGCTATAACAATGTTCGACCTAGTTTTCGCGAGTACAAAACTGGAATCTTAACATTTGAACTTTCAATTTGGTAAGGGTATAAAAGAAAGTGAAAAATGACAGAATGTGAAAAGTGTAATTAAAATAGAATATTAACAAAGGAGATATTTTATTTTTTATCTTTCCTCATATTATATTTTTTAAGAATGTGGTCTATCATATAATAAGCTTTACAGTTAGGTCATTTCGAGACTAACTAACGGCTATTTTATCTACTATGTTTATATAGATATCATGCAAAGTGTGTGTATGTGTGTGTGGGGGGAGGGGGGTGAACGGGGGTCCTTGCTTTTCCTTCGGTTCTATTACGTTGTGTTACGTTGACACCAGCTTGTACTGCAGTGACCGGGAAAATTTTCACTGGTTTTGAATAATTATAACTAGGATTCAAATTAATTATAACTAGGATTCAAATTAATTATAACTAGTATGGATTTAAAATTCAATTTGATCAAAAGTTCAACAGATTTTGTCAGCTGCCAAACCGCACAGGGACATGTTTTTTTAGGGAATTAATACAAGTTGAATGGATTTATGATTTATAAACGGAACGAATTGTAACCAAACTTTTTATTTCAAGATAAATACTTGTCCTTTCAAAATAATAGGTTACCAGTCCATGATCCCTTAGCCCTCTTTCTATTGATCAATATCAATTAATCGATTTATTGTCTGTCCATATATTTCGAATTTATTTTCAATTCATCTGTCATTATATCGCCATTCGTCTTCTTCTGTGTCGTCTGCTATCTTCTATTGGGCGTTTAAAATGAGAGTCTGGCCATATTCAGATTAAAGACTAAACGGGGCGATCAGGAATTAATAAGAAGGATTCTTTATTAACATGATGTCAAAATTACATTGATTTCATGTCAAAAAGATTGGTCTCTTAATTAATAAATTCCTGATGGTTAATGTTTTGTGAAATGTTATTAGGTCTTGTAGCCACATATTGCGACATGTGTCGTCCACGAGACAGGGTATATAGTATATGTATGTTGACGATTACTGAAACAAGGGGTGTTAACTCTGCTAACAGCGTTGGGTTGATTTTCCCCTTTGACACCCGTGTTATATTTAAGCCATTAGAAGCAATGTAGGATAACTGTACAACAAAGCACAAACACAGCAAACCATTAAAAAGAACATAACAGACAATCAAACAGAAATATACCAGTTGAAATAGGAAATAAACAGAAAAGATACTTAATAAAAACATGAGCAGCATTGGTGTTCATAAAACACAAACTAACACAATTGAACATAGAGGCCCCGACATTAATGCAACCGCCATGTTTATGATAGGCTTAAGCATGTCAACATTGTCAAGACATTTTTCTTCTACATACACTGATTCATTCTATATACATATAGCCATCATGAGGAAATGTCACAGCATAACGAATGTTTACTTTCGCCATTTTTAATGTTGGTTTTATCATTCTTCTTCAGATGATTTATTTTTTGTTCTCTCCTTAATCTGTAAAACTCGATATGTAAGAACGGGGATAATTTCTATTTTTATAGCTGCCTGGGGCATTAACTCTTATCTTATTATGAATGCAAATATACGTGGCGTTAGCTTGAGATTACAATTTATTGGTGATTAATAAACGCAATTATTGACATAAGCGACAAAGTAATTGGGAACCGGAAATGGTATAAAAGCGTCAAGCTTTTTCCATTCCATTATTGTTTTGGTTTTGCAAGGTTGATTTTTTTTTTTTAAAAAAAGTACAATTTGTCATTGAACGTAATTCGGGGGATAAAATGACACCTTCCTAAAACAAAGTAAATTTTGAATATAAGAAAACTTGGTGACTTAAGCAGCTGTATAAAGACTTCCAGGAGATAGAAACGAATCTATGATTTCAAAATAAAACGAAGAAAATCCAAAATATAACGCAATCAAGTAAAATAAAATAAACCGGTGTATTAAGTCAAGGACAAAATGCATGAAAGTGATTGTACATTACAACATTCTTTGATTCAATGCCGAGAATCTAAAATAGAAACATGACCATCCATTTTCAAAAAAAGAGACTTTGTCAGTGAACGTGTGTCTATTTTAAGGCAGTCTCCATTCATTCTCTTAAGAACAAAACAAAGGCAAATTTAAAATTAATGATTTCGATCTGCAACAAATTCAGCAAGATAGGTTTTTTTCATAGAAAATGTAGGCGGGAAAATATCACATACATATCATAGCGGAAAGGCTGATTTTCTGAAATCTCATCATTTTCGACTGATGTTTGAATTAATTCGCTCCTTTTCTTTCATTTCGTAATGATGACATTGCCCGAATGCATTTTTTTTCTTCAAAAAATACCGTTCGAGGATATTATATTCTTCTCTTTTAACATTCTACTTCGGTTTCAAGATTGGATGCTCATGATAGGTTTTACTACACAAAATGGCTGTTTATTATCGTGCAGTTAAATTCCCTGAATGTGACAAGATCTAATATCGAATAGGAAAAAAATGGAAACCTTGATGTAAATTTGCAGTCAAAAGTTGCAGATAATAATAGAGGCACCGGTTTCATGTCTGACTGGATGTCTGATACAATGCAAATTTTTAAATGTCATTTTCGATAGCATTGAGAGTTATCAATAAAGCATTTAGTTAATAGAAGTTATAGTAATGGGATTAAAATTGAATATTCATTGATCTATGAAAAGCCGATAATATTGAACTTAAAGTCAAAAATACTGTCAATAAAGTTCAAAAACTCGAAACGACAGGATAATCGATCGGCTTTGTATTATGCAATATCATTAAATCGGTCAAAATTTATTTCAAATATTCAATACCGCTAAACAATTCCTTATATTCTCAATGGGATATATTTTGTTTTGTTTGCAACGTGGTCGCAATATAATAGCATAATATATTAATATGTAAGCGGTATAAACGATTAACCTAAAGCCTTTGTATGATATTTGATTCTTGTACACGAGAAAGCCCGCGATATGTTTCTATCTTATTTTCTGAAGAATAGTTTAGTCGTTTTCAACACTATTTCCATTCGCATTAATCGACATATCTTGAACAGTGCTTATGGTTACCATGGCGCAGATCCTTTTGTGATCGCAACGATTTCTGTTTTCAAATTCCAATCAAGCACTTGAACTGGTTGTAAAACGATGGAAAGTTGGCGATTAGCTCGCGGCAAGAGAACCATCCACCTTAACGACTACAAAACTTACAAATACGTTC